CTGAGCCTCGGTAACATAGCAAAATGCTGAAGAGAAGTTAAAAAGACACGTCTCTGTGCCTGAGGCACTTTGGATGTCCAAAACATCGCTGTGCTCCGGTGCTGGGACTGGCCTCGGACAAGTGGATGGATACTTTGGCTGTCCTTTAACTTTTCCTAAGTCTGAGGGTTGGGAGTCCCTTATTAACACACTAACTCCATGGAGTCCCTTGTTCATGAATGCCTCTGACCAGCAGCCTGACTCGGTCAGCCCCGTGCCTGGAAAAACAGACAACCCTGACCCAGGGCTCTGAAATCTTATGGTCTCTAGTTCCCACATTACATTCTGCAGAAACCAGCAGCTTCAGAAACCAGTAATGTCACTAGGAGGTGGGCACCAAAGCACCTGCTGCTACAGTAGGGGCTGACCACGCCACTGCCATCAGCGTGGGAGGAGCCAGCACTGCCCCATGCATTGGGGGCTGCTCTAGGTACAATCCTGCCCTGCTACGCCTCCACCAGAAACCAACACTTCTTAGCATTGCTAGCTTAGGTGTGGGGGAAAGGCAGACCCCTAACCCACTGATTCTCAACCAGGGCATGCTGCAAGAGCCTTTAAAGGGTACTACGGGAGGTGTGAGAAGGCAGGCAGGTAAGGATAGGATCAGGCTCTCCCTGCCCGGCTGGTCCCCTACTCCTGCTGCCTGGCCTCTTGCCAGGAGGTAAGGTCTATAATAAAGACATTTAGTTTTCGAAGTGACGTGCAGCTAAATTCACAAGTTATGGCGAGATCTAATGAAAAGTGCCTCCAGTCTAAAGAAGCTGAGAGCCACTGCTCTGACCCGTTCCTGCTGCTGCTGCTGTTTATTCATAAATAACAGAAAAAAAAGGGGGGTGGGAGACCAGACCCTGATGCCTTTGCCCAGAAGTTGGCCACAGTGAGAGTTTGCCTGAATGAGACCTTGCTACTTTAACCCACTTTTCAAGCTGACAAAGAAACTTTCAACAGCCGAGAAACCAACATAAAAGACGAGACCCCTTTGCATCGCTCCTCTTCAGCCACAGAGGCCTGATACCTTTTTCTGTTCTGAAAAAAAACCCCAGCTTGAACATTCGGCATCTGGAAGATCCACCCCATCAGACAGCCATGTGTCTTCTTAACCGAGGGTAGCTGTCTCGGGTCTGGCTCTGTTGTAAAGAGGGGTCCTTGAGGTAGAAAGCTACCCTTAGAGACTGGTCATCCTGGCTTCAAGGACTGTCTGATTTGCAGCGAGTGGTGACAATGACGCTTGGGGCTGTTGCATGAGATGATGAATAGAGTTCTCCCTGGTGACCGTCCATGCGAGTGTAAATAGTTTCATGGGATGGTTTGAATAAACAGAAGGCTCCAGGTGAGATGGTCCCTTGGTGAGATGGTCCCTTGGCTCCAGGTGAGATGGCCCCATGTCTCTGTTGGAAGAGCCTGTGTGCAGATAGACTGCTATGTCTTTCCTTTACGGATGCTTGGAGGGGACATCACATTGCCATATATTTAAAAGAGAAGAGTGCTTCAGGCTTTGCAGCAAGAGCACAGTTTGACTGGTAATTCTGCCATATATCATTTTGGTTGCATATACGAGTATGGATGTGGTCTGTCTTACTAAGGGAGACTTTTTTCAGGGAAGAGAGTGAACTTGACAGTTTGGTCCCATTATTCTGCTTGTTTCAGGAAACCCAGCTACCAACGTTCACACCCACAAAACAGCACAGAAAGAGCAACAGGTGAGCACTGCCTAAGCTCAGTGGTTTGATACCAAAGCATCTACAGCTTTTCTTCTCTCTTCAGCCCCAGCAGCATTTTACACTATTGCGTTCCACCCCAATCATTGATAGTGGGTAGCGATCAATGCTTATTTTTAATATTAGCCCTTTTCTTCTGATGATGGAGTGAAATGAGTGGACTGCCCAAACCCAGCCAGGAGCGGTGAGGATAGCGGCACAAAGTTATGTGCCAGCAATGGATAGTATCAAGAACCTACCAGAATGACTTAAAACGCTCCACACTCTGTCATCTTCTCTTCTTCCCTCTTTTTGATATGAGGCCAGATTCTCATGCCCACTAATGCCTCTCATTATATGCAAGGCAACCTAAACAGGTTTAAAAATGCACTCAGTCTACTTTAAGGGCATGCGTATTCAGTGTCAGACCACAGCACATTGTTGCTCTGAAAACGTGCTTTCTCCTGCTGCATGTTCCCCCAGCCCCAAAATACCATGTACTCCCCATCAGGGTAATGGTGTGTAGGCGGCAGGGGTAAGTAAAAATCAGCCAGATGATTGACATTTTATGTCACTGGTTGCACATCCAATGAGAACGAGTAGACAGGGCATCTTTCCCCAGCATGCCTGACAGTTTAGCCAAGCCCCACGGCTTCTCTAAAAAGCCAGTGCAAAAGGGCCCGAGTATGAAATGGGCCCTTTGCCCTCTTAACTCTGCATCCCAAAAGTAAGTTTCCTTCCCACTGAAATTCAAGACTCCTTTGCTGAACGAGAGGTTTGCTGTAGCAATAACTACATTTGTTCTGATAGCGATTGTGCTGATGGATGATGGGCTATTGGCCTATTACCTGCCTAGTAATAACCTTGGATCACGGATTCACAGAAGTTTAGGGCTGGAAGGGACCTCATGAGCTCATCGGGTCCAGCCCCCATGTATCATACAGTGAACACCTCTGCACTGAGACAAGATGAGATTTCTGAAGCATTTACCAATTCTGTGTCCCTTGTCCTGCCTCATTCCACTGCTGTCAGGATACAGAGACATGGGGATTTGGGGCATGGGTTTAATTGGTGTGTTGCACAATCATGAACATGTGTGAATCACTTCTGAGGTGAATCCAGGCCTCAAAGCAAAACCATCTACTTAATGTACAATACTTTAAATAATGAGAAATCCATTTGTTTAGTAGGAGCAACATTTCCTCTAACCTGCATTCCCAAGATTGACTGTTTCTGATTTGCAGTGAGAAAAGTAAGCAAAAACATCAGGTGTGCCTGGAATGGATATATGAGTATAAAAGAACAGATGTCTGTTATACAGAGGTTTAGCTGAATAGGGGTCATGATCTGAAATCAAAATACGCCCCCTCCAGTTTTTTGTCTCCTAATGAATTTGCAATATCCTTTGCAGTACTGTTTTGGTATTAACCTTGTTTATATGCTGGTAAAACAGATTTAAAAAATCTCAAAGCATCTCTGCTACCTGCTTTGACCTGACTTCATCTACAAGTGTAATTCCAGGCAAGCTTTGGGGTTAAATCAGGGTGCCAGCCTGTCTAGCATTACTGCATTTTGTGGAAGGTCCTGTCTCTGTATTGCCAGGGCTTTCAATGCCTGGAAACATTTGCAAACAATGGCCTCCAACAAAGGAACAGGGGCTGCTAAAAGGAAGCTTGCAAACCATGACTGACGTCAGCTGAAATGGATAGTGACCAAATGCAGGCATCTGTCCGGGATAGCACTTGTGGCTACAGAATCTGTGGTCTGACATGCTGACGTGTGTGGCACGCTCATGGTATGGGTGTGCCTCATTTATCTTCTTGAGCTCTGTGATAAGCTAGAATGGTAGGATTTATTCATTATGAGAAAATCCCAGAAGTGCTGCCTCAGAAAGAGGACACTCACAGAGATACAAAAATCCAGCAGGAGTGAGCTTTTTTGGAAAAAAAAAAAAGTAAACACGACTGAGACCCGTCAGTTGATATTAAGGAATCATTTTTCCCTCATGCAAAACTGCGTTGCTCCATAAATAACACTTGCATGGGATTGTGAACAGAAAAGACCTGATTTTTAAAAGGATACTTCTAATTTTGCAGGTGTAAAATTGCACCTGCAAATCCTTTCGTCCACTATTTGTAGGGTTTCCAGTGCAACTTCATGATTTCCTATGCCTGGCCCACTACAGGGAACTGTGTCTGCAATTTTGTACCCACAAGTATTAATCAAAGCAAAATTGCGTTCACAAGGCTCAAAGGCAGGCCAGTTTGTGAAAAATCTGGTTGATAAGGGAGAGAAGCAGCATATTTAATCAATCCGCTGTTGACCTGTGTCATTTGATACAATCTTCACCTATGGAACCGGTGCTGATTAGCATAACGAGGCAACGTGCCTTGCTTTGAATGTCTTTTCTGAACAGTTCTGATGAGGACAGAGATGTGAAAGGCCCATCCTGTTGCTTGTGTCTCGATTTCTAGTTCATGTTATTACACACCACCTTTTGACAGCTTCAGTATATAACGTAAAGATGCTGAAGAGTTCCTTTCCATCAGCTCAGCAGATTATGCTTTAAACACAAAATCTACAGGACCTGACCTGCAATTAACTACTTGTCCGGAGAACTCCAAAGGCTATGCTTTCTGTAATAGAGAGCCTTTGATGCGAGAAAAATGTACTTTAGTCTCCCCTGGCCATGTAAATGTGGCCAGGTTGACAGCTTTGCAGAACAAGGTTTTCTCTTCATCCGTGTGCAGGGTGTATGGAGCAGTAAGGAGCAGTGCCAACTCCCCTCCGCATTGTTTCACTAACATATTTCAGCCCTGACATGCAGGGAGAAAAGGTCATTCCAGCTTTCTGCCCATCGAGTCCTTGATGTTGTGGTTGGGATTATCGAGAAGTATCATTTAGAGGGATAGGGACATCTGTCACCTAAGAACTGGACCAGACCAAAAACCACTCATTCTACATACGGGGGTGTAGGTTATAGCCGTGTTGGTCTAAGGACATAGGCCTCATTCTACATATGGCACTGAAAATAAGAGTTTCGTATTTTTTTTTACCTTGTCCTCAGTAAAGATGTACGGGGGTCATTAAAGCATTATGGTTTTGTATATTTCAGATGTTATTTATATTGCCTGGAAGCAGCTATGCAGCAAGATCTAGTCTTGCATGAGAGACTGCTCAGATTCTTACTATGTGAAGGTTATTACCATCTGCTCAGTTTGCATAAATATCTGTTTGACTTACAGCATGTTATCATTTTAACAGGGCCGCCATGTTAAGACTGGACAACTTGCAGCAATCAAGGTGATGAACGTTACGGAGGTGAGTGAATATATAGCAGGAGGGGGGTGAGTGAGACAGTGGCCTGGACTGCACACTAACATTTTATTTTATGTAGCGCTTTTTTCCCTTCAATCCAGGGGGAAAAAAGGGTCTATGTAAAATAAAACATTAGTGTGGCTTCCTTAGGAGAGAAGATGGCCAGCTGCTATTCATTGTGTTTTCTGAGCATTGGTGTTTTTCTGAGATCCCAGGGATGGGTTATATGAACACATTGCTTTGTTTTTAATCATATTTGTCCAAAGCAAGTGGGGACAGCACTTCTGTATATTTTGCTAGTCTATAATAATGAAGAAAAGAACTCTCTTCCTGCTTATTTCTGGTGATTATCTGTTGCCAGAGATAGCAAATAGAAGATTTCCTGTAGCTTTTTGCTGCCCCTGCTGTGTTTCATCACATCCTTTCCTCTCGCACACCAACCATTCCTCTATTTGGTATAAAAATCTAGGGCATTGCAGTTGTACTGACAGCGAGCAAGAAGGAACATGTTAGAGATGCAAATATTGCCTTTTTAAGATTCAATAGATGAGAAAAGGAGACAATTTAATTGGCACTGCCCCTTTCCACAAGTATAGAGTGGTGTTACAGTTATAACATAGTGTCATAGAATTTGCTAAGCATTGATTTTTGTTCCCCTGTACAGCTGACTCATAGTACAGTAACTTGCCTCCACAAGACCAAATTAGCCTGAGTGTTGGAAAGGCCAAAAAACCTATGCCCCCCCCGCAAACTTACTGGAAGCTCATCCCTAAGACTTATGCAGCCAGTTTTCATGTACACTAAAAGCCCCTTGGCACCCCACTGGCAGCATGAAAACACTACAGTGCTGGGCAGTACCATAAAACTCTTAAGATGAAGAAAAGTTATGCAAAGCTAAGTGTAAAGTAATTTACACCTGCTTTCACACTGCCAGGATAGCTTAAAAGGATCCGAGCACGAATAAGAATCAAGGTCAACATCTCTGCAAAATATACATGTACATACACAGTCAAATTGTGAATATGTTGCTTGTCTGTCCATGGAGAGGGTCCCTTTCTATGACAACTGGAGCAGTAGACCCCTGGGGTTTTGCTTTTGTCTGTGCAAGTACATGCTACGTGAACTGCAATAGCTAGTAGAAATGAGAGTCACCAAAGGTAAAGCTAGGTTGCTGTTTGCTGGGGAGTAACAGAGGTTGAATTTTGGCAGCATCTGATGCTAAATCAAATCCCTGGATCTGAGCATCCCTAGACTTCAAAGGTCAGTGGGGAAAGGTCTGGGGCCAGAGACCCAGAGCCAACTCAAAGGCAGAAATGTTTTATTGACTTATTCAAAAAAGATGTGTGGGTTGGCCCGATAGTTTGACTTGGGAGAGGGCATCAATACCACTGACAGCCTTCTTCCCAGTGGAAGAATCAGGGCAAAAACTCCAGGAAACGTGCAGTGTCCAGCAAAAAATCACATGACAGCATGTGGAGGCCCAGGTTGGCTGGCTCATGCCAGTAGCTTTGTGCAGCTCCATGAACACAAAGAGGCTATATATTCCCTTAATTGGCTGGCAAAACCTGGTTGCTTTGCTTTGCAGGGGCAGCACTGAAAAGCGGCAGTGTCCTAGTAAATCTGGCCAGTTGTTCTGAGGATGAATAGTACCAATAACCTCTCTGCTTGCTTTCATTTTGAGTTGTTTCACACCAAGCAACGTACTTCTTTTTATGAATTCTGCAGAGCTTCAATCCAAATCTTCAGAGCCACCATTTGGGGTTTTCCCTCTGACACCCTGACACCTCCCAGCTCTGCTGCGCTGGGTCTTTGTATGCTTCCCCTAGCTTGTTGCAGCACAAGCACAGGAAGCAATTGGTTCCAGCTGGTAGTGATGGACCAAGAAGGTCCCTGAGGTTGATGTGCACACCTGGCGCTTAAGAGAACAAAGGTCAACTCCCTGCTCTGCCCTGTATTTCCTGAGTGATCTTGAGTGAGTCACAGCCTCTGTGTGCCTCAGTTCTGCATCTGGAGCAGAGATAATAGCACTGCCCCACCGCACAGCGGTTTTATGGTGAGAGGTGCTCAAGGGCTACAGTAATGCAGAGATATGGAAGTCCCTTAGATAGAAATGCTTTCAGTCTCTAAGGCCAGGTACAGACATTACACTTTTACCAGCAAAAGTGATGGGAAACTGGTCTACTTGTAACAGAACAGAGGTTCGGCACACAAAACCAGTCTATAATAGCAGAACAGAGGTTTGGCACATGCAGACTGGTTTAAAAATGACAGATTTGCCTCCCTCCCAGCAAAGGGCAAATGTGTGTTATGTTCTCTCCCGCTCTAAACTATGCCACTTAGCGAAAACTGCACAACTCAGATTGATACCTCTTGGGGCTTTTTGAATGTCTGTGCCTAGCGCAAGAGATCTGAAGAACAGAAGTGGCTGCTTACAACACAGTCAATATTTGTTACATCAAATTATTCCCAATTAAAGTTTTAAATATCTCTGTTTGTTTGGACAGGAGAGAGTGGTCCACACCAGTGTAGCTGATTACTGAGCGTTCAGGCAGTCACCTGGGATGTAGGAGAGGGGAGTTCAAAGCCCCTGGTCTGAATCATGGGAGCAGGGGCTTGAACCTGGATAGTTCCTATTTCATGTGAGCAACCAAGGACTTGTCTTGCATTGGATTTTTTTTCCCTCTCTCTAGCATTCTGCTTATAAGCAGAAATGCCAGCCTGGGTCTGGAACGGAAAAAATAAATCCTTATTTCTCCAGTGAAAAGTTAAGTGACATTGGCACATTCCTGCCCAAAGGTTCAGTTGCACCAGACGGGTGACATTCACAGCATGAAAATTCACTTCATCAGAAAACTTGTGACCAGCTGCGAGCTGGCATGCCTGGTGCTGAGCCCCGTGATAGAAACATCGCAGAGGAAATGTGTTCCCCTTCAGCATGAGCTGTGCCTTTCAGCTCCCTCCTCCTGATCGGCAGCAGGATGCTGCGGTCACCGCGGGATGCGCTGGACATCTGTCAGGAAGTGCTGCAGCGTCATGTTACAGGGAGGGGTGTGGGAGCCTTTTGAAATCGCTCAAGTGGGGCTGACAGTAATGTGTGCTGCTGCGCCTCTCCTCACGGGCTTGGCTTCCTGTTCTCTCATCGTGCCAAGCAAACAAAGCGCTCGCATCTTGCCACGTTACTCCTGCAAACGGAGCTTTTCCTCGGAGCTGGCATGCGGTGGGCTGCTCCCCGGGAACCTCCTGCTTTCTGTCATTCCAGCTCTCAAAATCACTTTTCAAGGAGAGACGTGTCTCCTTGCCGTAACTTCGACAAGAGAGCCTCCTGGCAGTGTGTTTATCAGTTTCCAATCTTGTTTCCTCTTGTGGGTAGAGGCGTGTGCCTCCTCGCTCTGCTACCTCATGTCATTGTGGTCAGGCGAGGCCCACGGTTTCTCAAACAGGGTTTGGCTGCGAACCTGCCGTTTTGTGCACACACCTACCAAGCCCGCAAACAACGCAGCGAACGGCATCTGCGAGCAGCTTTCCTTACTTAAGCAGCAAAATATCTGAGCAGATGTCAAGGGTCCCTAGGGCAATGTTTGGCCCATTATTGTATCAGCAAGGGGAAGGTTGGAGCCAGGAGCGCCTGGGTACATCGCTTTATCGACATCCTCTTCTCTCTCACCCACCTCCCCCTGCCAACATCCTTCTTCTCCCTAACAGACCACTCAAGTTTTCAAACCTTGGCTTTGCCACAGACTTTCTGGGCAGAATTGCTTAGCAACTCTTATTTCCCTTGTTAATCAAGCTATTATCTGTGTACCTCGCTAGCTTAAATTAACTGACCCCCTCCCTGTCCCAGGGAAGTAGCAAGAGATTATTAAGGATGCTCGCACTGCCTGAGGGCCACGTGAGGGGATGCCGTCTTGGAGCACGTGCCTCCTCCAGCTCCTGAGTGACCTGACAGCACGGCACTGCCCTCAAATAGCTCCATGTCCCCATTTCACAGGACGGCATGTGCTGAGTGAGTGTTGTGTGCTCTGATCTGGTGTTTGCTCACGAGGAGACCTCCCACATGGTGGGATTTTCAGAACTGTTTTGGGTCCCAACTATTAATGACTCCATGCCTATCACCCCTTATACCATCCAGCAGGGATCTCACCCTTTTTGTCGGATACTCGTTCTGGCAATTAAGGGAGCACCTGGCCAGCAAAGTTCCTTGGAAGTGGTGCGCTAGCATGGAAAAACATTGTGCATGTCCCAGCCGGTTCTGTCTTCCGCACCTGTTTTTTTCATTAGCTGATAAGTTCAAGGTTGTTTGGTGGCAAAAGGTAATTCAGGTGTCAGCTTTCTTTTATTCCTTTCTGCTGATGGAGGCAGGCGGCCCTCCGTGTCATGAGCATAGAGCTCTGTTGTTCCTTTTGTGGCCGGCAGAGCACCCTTTGGCGCATCTCTCCTGGCAAGGATGGCACCGGCAAGAAGAGAAAGAGCCATTCCACTGGCCAGCTCTTAGCTGAGACACAGCTGCCTCTTTGAGGCCATCACGAGGTGCTACCAATGAAGTTCGCTCTAATCCGTTCTGTTATGATCATTTATTAGTATTGTGGTAGCATCTAATAGTCGTCCCCGTAGATCAGCACCCTGCTATGCTGTTTTCTGTTCCAGCAGAACAAAAGAGGGTGCATTTCCCAAGGACCAATGTAAGCAGAAGAGAAGAGACAACAGATAGATGCTGCAGAAAGGGGAGTATGTAGACCCAGGACTGTTTGGCCTCCCCATAGCAGCTGCCTTGCTGCCCTCGTCGTTCTGGATGAACCTCCGGGCAGGGAGGAAAGAGCCAGGTTCTAATCCTGGCTTCACCTCCAAACTGGTTTGTGGACTTGGGAAGTCACTTCCCTTCTCTTGGTTGCAGGTTCCCTGTTGGCAGATTCCTCAGGGAAAAGGAAAGGTGAATCAGTTGATGTGCATGTGACATTTAAAGCACATAGTACTATTGGAATAAAGAGTTATCAAGAAGGTTTTGCTGGAATCCAGCTAATTTCTCTGCGACTAAATTCCCAGTGAGTGAGTTACAAATTCCCTTCCATGCGCCGTGCATAGAGGATATTAGTCTGCGTAGACCGTCTTCTCCTGTGAGCTCAAGCTGGAGCAGTTCCTGATTTTAGATCTAGGTTTGTTGGTTGTGCTGGTTAAGAGACTGCCCCTGTGATTTGTCTGAGGGCCTAGTCCTGCTTTTCACAGCGCAGAGTAGAAGGTTTATCTTGTCACTTCTGCAGCGCTCTGCTCTCTTTTACTACAGAATGAGGAGGAAGAAATCAAGCTGGAAATAAACATGTTAAAAAAATATTCTCATCACCGCAATATTGCCACATATTATGGAGCATTTGTCAAGAAGAGTCCTGCAGGCCAGGATGATCAGCTCTGGGTATGTTTTTTAATCCCATTTATGTTTATTAGATTTTCTTGAAAGAGGAAATTGTTGTTGGGAGTTACAACAGGAGCACCCAAGGAAAAGTGTTTATAAATTTGTATAAAACTTTTAAGAAAGTATTTTTGATTTCAGCTTTAAGGCTTATCTTCTTTTCTAGTTTTTTAAGGGTTTTTTTCCCTCTATCTTCTGCCTTTGCTTTTTTTTCTGGATTTTTTTCCAGTGGCAAAATGGAAAGAAAGAAACAAAAGAGAGTTAAAAATGGGGCAAGGAAGGAACAACAAAATGCCAACGTTTTGCTTAAAGCTATTAGCCAGAATTTGTAAAGATTGATTCCATTTGAAACAAACTTGGTTACATTTTCATGGATTTGGATTTGTTCCACCTTGCCCTTTCCCCTTTTTTTATTTTTCATTGGCTCTAGTCAGGAATGAAGTCCCCGTGAACAGTAACAGAAGAGGGGCATTGTTTTGTTTTACTGCATCAGGAGAGTGTGTAATTCAGAAAATGAAGGTTTCACTCCAATTGCAGTGCTAAAGGGCAGGCAACACATGCAACGCAATTAGGCCGATGGTGTAGTGGGCCAGAACATGGTCATGATTAACATCTGACAAAGTAAGCTGTTGCTCACTAAAGCTTACGCCTCTCTGAAATAGTTAGTCTACAAGGTGCCGCCCTGCTCTGCCTTCTGTTAGAGGACCTCCTGAACATGTAACAGGTCTATGGTATATTTGTCTCCCTGCAGCTGGTAATGGAGTATTGTGGAGCTGGGTCTGTGACAGATTTGGTAAAGAAGACCAAAGGAAACTGTTTCAAGGAAGACTGGATTGCCTACATCTGCAGAGAAGTTCTTAGGGTGAGTTTTGCTAAGTGTGCTCTTATTGCAAAGAGTGTCCTGGCCTTCTCTAACTGTGACACGTGACACCAGCAAGTCTTTAACTGCCAGCAAAGGGGATGCCCCAGCATATTACATTGTTTGCAACCTATTTTCCTGGAAAAAAACCCATTTCTAACTTGTCTTTTTGTAAAAGCAGCATGCTTTGCAACAGAAAGTTGGTAGCAAGAGTTTTGGAAGAAGCCAGCCTGAAAAAATGTTAGAATCAGTTGCCCTAAATGCACGGGCCATTACAGAGCCATTGGTCTACTTCCCTTTTAATGGAGTTTGACTTTTTTTTAATAACAGGAAGATCAATATGAGTATTCTGAGACCTGCCATTGAAATTCCCCATTTCAAACTAGTAAATTGAACCCGAGCAGGGCTAAACTCGCTCGATGTTCATAGTGACAGAGATGGGTAGTCAGTTCAAAAGCACATCAAATATCCTATGTGGATTTGGCAGGGAGCTGCTGATTTTGAATAAATAGCAAATCCATTGGTCAGTGGGGAAAACCATTCTCTGATTTGGAATTCTTGCGTGCCACAAATTGGGTGCCATCCAGTGGGGAAATTTGTCCTTGGGGGCTTCAGTTTAGTATCCTTATTGGGGCTCTTCCACAGTTTACGTTCTGCCACAGCATGAGGACACGAAGACTGCATTTTTTTAATGGAGGCTTAAAATCTTCCCATGTGTCCATGTGAAAAGGGTAGCCGACAATGAGATGGGCATGCATGCAGTCAGAAGCCTTTCATGTATGCATGCATATTTATTAGGCCTGCGCAAAGTGGCTAGTATTCGCTTCGGATTTAGTTTCAGCTGATTCAAATCACTGTCCTGAATCAATTCAGCTACTGCCAAATCGGCCGAATCCCCCACCCACTCTCCCAGCCCCATCAATGGCTGCCTGCCCACCCCAGCTCCCACCTCTTTGGAAAAAAAGCCTGGCATTCATCAGGTGCTGCCAGGTGGCATTCATCAGGTGCCGCTGTCCCCCAGTGCCCCATGCTGCTTGGGGGGCTCTGTCATGAGCCTTCATCTCCTGCCGCTCTCCTGGCCTCAGCTCCCCCCAGCTCTTTAAAAAAAAAAAAA